TGTAAAAGTTTAAATATATTAATTGCTTATTTACAAATCATAAAACTTATAAAATAATTATATACTACATTTTCTGATAAAAAGTTTTCTATTGTCATTGTATGTGTTTTCATATATCAGGTTTTTTATCTTGTAATAGTTTCATGTCTTACTGTTAAGCTCACATTAGCTAAAGTTTTTATTACTGATGAAGATGCTCCAGATGCATCTAGCAAAAGCCCAACTTCCTCCTTAATTCTATTAATAAATTTATTATTAAGTTCCACTAAAAAATAGCAAAATAAAATCAATCTTTTCTTATTTTTCTTATTGGTCATTTGACTTTTACTTGTGGATTAGTTTTAGCTACTAATTGATTAAAAAAACCTTTTAACAATAGTTGAGCCTTCTCAAGCATTTTCTTGAAATCTTTTGAATTGAAAATGGGTCTTTTATTATATATGTGTTATTTTGTATATAACACTCCTGCCATCAATTTAATTTTCCTACTAAGAGGAGTCAACTCTAATAGATAATTATTGTATAATTAATTTAGGATTCATATAATGATAATCAGTATTAAAAATTTGTAAATAAAATTTACTTACCTAGTTTTACCTCATTAAGCTCTGTGTATACTTCATAATATGCAGATTCAGAGTATATAATGTCACTATGTAAAACATAAGATCTATCTTGAAACTTTTTTATATATTCTTTAGAAATCCTTTTAGGTGTTAGCATATAATCAGCTGAATTAACATATTCTGAATCAGTGTCAGTTTATATAAGCAATGATGATACATTATTGCCTTTCATGATAGTTGAAAGAAATTGATTAATCATTCTGAAGCTTTCTTGATAATTTTTATTTCTGTACTATGTCAAGCTATAGAAATATAAAGGTGATATTTTGGATGCGAATATATATTGTTAGTTTTAGATTTTTTTGCATTAACTATTAATTTATTATAATGTTTTGATACAAAACCTTGCCAACCAAGTCTAAGTGTTAACTTAAACTTAGTATCTTTACTTTTTCAGATACAATAGATGTGTCATGCTGTTCATAATCATATATGATATCCTTTTGGTCTTCTAAATCATAGTGTTAAGCCTTTCTTTTTCCCTTTTTCTCAATGGAGAAAGTTTGACAGCTTCTTATATAGACATTTTGCTTTATACTCTTTTTTCTGGTGATAAAATTGCTGGAATAAAATAAACGTTTATTAGCCAGTTTCTGAATTATTTTGTCATTTACTGAATTATTTTGACGGTTTATAAAACAAAAGCTATATTTTTGATTTTTTTTGATCACAACCTTTGTCAATTTATTTTTATAACTGCCAATCCATTTAAGATTAGATGATCATCTTTTTATATGAATCTAATATATGATGATCATTTTGAAGATTAATCAATTAAGTTTAAGCCTACTATGCTATGTAATACTAATTTTTATCAAGCATCGATTGATCTAATATTAGAAGGTTTTATTTATATAACATATAATACTAATACTTGATAGGTCAAAAAGTAACCATAAATATTTATTAAAATTAACAGTATTTTTATGTAATCTCTTTATCATTGTTATATATTGAGCAAAACACTTATGAATTTAGAAATTATTGTTATAAAATCAAAATTATCTATCTCTTCTATTTCACCTTTTTCATTCTCTATATCATCCTTAGTAAATTTATTACTACTATTTTGTAATCTATCTAGAAAATATTTTACATTATCAAATACATCTTGTTTATAATATTGTTTACAATGATTACAGTGCATAACAAAAGTCTTCAAAATAAAATTTAATGTATGTGAAAAAACTTTAATAATTCTCACAATATACAAGTAATTAGCAAATAACTTATACAGTTAAACTGTGGTTATTTTTATATGATATCAATCATTATTTATTTATGTTATGATTATGTGGTATAATTTTATCCTCAGTTCAATATAGTCTATGATATTTTTGCATAATGTCATACAATTATAATCACTTTATAATAAAATGGTACCTATAACGCTAAAAATTTATATTCATTAACCTCTATTTTACCTTCTACACTATACGACTATATCTAAAAATTCAAAAAAGATATTTCTTTAGAATCTTTATCTTAGTTAGAAAGTCCAAAAAGACTTTCTTCTAAAAAATGCTATCATTTTGAAAAGCTTGTTTCAATAAACGAATATTCTACATACTGAACTTGTAAATATTTTGAATGACAAACATACCAACCTTAACATATATAAAAGAACTGTACTTAGGAAACTTTACAGGCTTAATTATCTTAATACAATTCCTAAATTAATACTTTTATTTATAATTTTGCATAAACAACGTCGTATAGAATTTGCAATAAACTATCAAAGACAAAACTGGAACCAAGTCATTTTTTCTGATGAAACAACAATTCAGATGTTCTAAAATACTCAAAAAGTATTTTATAAAGCTGGCACACAACTTTCACAAAACCCATAATCAAACATCCATACAAAGTTCATGCATAGAATGCTTTTTTAGCAAAGGGTTGAATTGGATTTATTCTTTTTACTAGAATAATAAATGGCGTATTTTATCATGAAATTCTTAAGATGAATCTTTTTAACAATACAAATTCTATCATGAGAAGATGCTGGGTATTTCAACAGGATAATAGCCTAATGTATATAGCTAGGGATACTAAAAAACTTCTTTAAGAACATTGTCTGAAGTTGTTAGACTGGCTATCAAATAGCCCAGACCTCAATCCTATAGAAAATTTATGGTCATTTTGAAGAGACGTGTAGAAAAATATGTTAACAAGCTGTTGGCAAAAAAAATTAATTGCTATAAATGTTTTTCTTGATATTATTCAAAAAGAAGTAGGAAGAAATCAAAGATGAAAATTTTATTAATTTAATTCTTAGTATACCATCACAGCTAAAACAGGTAATTGAGGGTAATAGTAATAAAATAAGCTATTAAACAAGCTTAGACAAACTTTTTTGCAGGATAATAAAACATATATATTTAAATTTTCATGTATTTTTAATTAATTTTTGAAGTATAATTAATAAAAATGTGATTCTGATTACTTTTATTATACATTGTATATCTATTTCTTAAATTATCATAATATATCTGATGATAACCATGCTCACAAATCAATATTTTACTATTATCATTTAATTTAGTATCATATGCATCACAAACATTTAACTTGAAAGGATGTTCAATATGATAACCAGCTAGTAAATTTTTAATATCTACCTGTTGATTTAATTTATTTAGATAATATATCATATTAGGTTTCTTTTTTCTTTTTCCTTTTGTATTAAGTGCATGACTATGATTGTAATTTTGGTAAACTTTTTGAAAATGTTATAATAAAAATAAACTTATTTTATTTATTAAAAAATCAAGTTTGGATGGAGTATAAGGATAATGCTATTGTATTTGGTAAGTTTCTTTAAATTCATCTAAAATATGAGAGTTTTTATAAAATTTAACATTTTTATATAATATATTTTTTTAAAATAGGTTTGAGGAATTTACCAATTACACATGCCTGTTTAATTATATTATCAGCATTAATATTTACAAGTATACTTCTTCAAATTTTGCTGTACATATTTTCTATTGGGTAATTATCAAAATTTGATTAAAACATTTTTAATGCATCTAAAAAAGAATGATTAATATCTTCTTAATAGAAAATATCTGACAAAAATACTAATGATACTTTGTTATAATTTTTATGCTTTTAGCATAATGCAAAATATCCATATGAGGTCTTTGCAATAGAAAGGGAGGAAACTCCAAAAAAATTAAAATTTTGGTTTATAAGCCAAAAATATTCCAAATACTATAATTTGTTCAGATTTATTATTAACTCATTTTTTATCTTTTTTTGAGTTTTCTCCTTTTCTATTGCAAAGGCCCCATATACGAAAAATAGTTTCAACATACTTGTCAAATAAATCAGAATGAAAAAGTGTTACATATATATCAAGTGTTACTAAAATCAAGTTATCCAGTAAGTTAAGTAACATTTGTATTCAATATCCTTACATAAAGCCCAAATATATTTTTAATAATTGTTCTAATTATTATCTAACTATTATATATTAATTCTAATAATAGATTTATCTGTCAAGGTTTTAGTTTCTTGGCTAATTTTACGTATTCTCTAAAAAGAAAATAAAATAAAAGTTTAAAAATGAATAATGTATTAGAAATACTTGTTTTCTACTGTTAAAAGCTTAAGAATCAGAATAAAAGATTGTATGCTAGGCAGAATTGTATTTGTTATTTATTCTTATGCATACAAATAAACTATAACCTTTCAAATAAACAATTGGCCTGGCTAATTAGCAATAATAAGAGCTACATAATCATTGAGTATATTGTAATTATTTTCTAGAATTATTTTTAAGGCATCTATATAGTTTTTTATAAAATGTAATTCTTGTTTTTTTATTTCAATTAGATGTACATTATTCATTGATTGCTCATCTTTTTTTTTTAAAATAAAATAATCATAATTATATACAATAAGCAATTTAATATGATCAAAGTTAGTAATTTCTGTTTTTTACTGAATCAATTGAAATTTTCATTTTATATATAATTTGCCAAAAATTCCATAACTGAATTAAGCAATAATTAATATTGGATACATCTATATTTATAGAATTATGGATTGAACTACCATTATAAACAATAGGAATTCATGAATAACTGATTATTTTTTCATACACATGTTACCATATAATGAGCAAATGGTATCTAACCTTCTTTTTTTTTTAATTAAATAAAAATCATCTATATTAAATATATATAAAAATTATACTAAAAAATAAAAAATAAAATATTAGCATATAATTAATTTAAAATTACATATTTAATACTATTTACATTTTCTTAAAAAAATTCTTTTATACTTTATGATTTTATACAATTTTTATTTTATATATATCAATTGTTCTTGAATATACTAATATTCTAATATTATGCATTACATCTATAAATTCATTAGTTGAACCAGTTGAATCTAAAAATAAGTTAATATCTAATATAAATTCTTTAGCAAATATATTTCATTATATAGTAATAATATAGCAAATTGCTACAATTTTTTTACCTCTTCTTTATTGTATGCTGATTGTGTATTGGAAATTATCACATTTACTATCATATCAAAAAATTCTATTAAATATGAATCTTCTTTTTCAATCACAACTTTAAATGCTATTAGATTTAATATTAAATTTGCATACTCTTTTTACTACTTTTTATGTAAAACTTCAAGTAATAGTATACATTTTTAGAAGTCTAAAATAAATATTAGATTAATAAAGTAATTAATTAATATTATTATTATTATTTAATTTACCAATTATATTATGATTTATAGGACTTCTATTCCTAATAATGCAATTCTCTTTATAATCATTTTGTAGCCTTTTATTTTCCTTATTATATTTTGTATAACTGTCTAACTTACAAATTTCTAAATAATAACTATGATAAAGTTGAAGTCCAATTTTTATATTATAATTATAAACAATTTATAGGTTTATTACAATCTTTTATAGAACAGGAACTCAAGTTTCTTTTTGTTAAACTGACAAAAAAAAGAATTGATAGATTTCTTAAGAAGACACGTATATGTCAGGTGATTATTATTCAATTATAATTACATTGAACAAAATGATTAACAGCTAATTAAAAATATTTTCACTCATGCTTCATATGCTTAACTCTTTTACTTTTCATTTTACACTTATTATATTATAAATCTTCATTGCTGACAAAAATTAATAATTATATTACTTTTTATATTAAAAGCTGTTATAAAAATAAAAGGTATTGAAATTTTCAAATGCAAAAATCCAATAATTTTTATCTTTTAACTATCCTTATTACAACAAATATAATTTTTAAGTGTTCTTTTTTCAACTAATATAAAATTGTAATATCAGCTAAGACCTAAAACTAAAGGTTTTTAGACTGATATTTTTTCATATTTAATAGATGAAAAATGTTATATTTATTTTAGATGTCACTTTTATATAATTCTTACAACTTTATACTATTGTGATCTGATTAAAAATTCATCAAACCTTTACCCTAGATATCTCTAATGCAATATCTGTATAAAAATAAATTACCATTATATTATAGTAATTAGCAAATAGAACTGAAATTTAAGTATTAAAGTAAAAACTCTGAATAAGTTAAGGATCTGTAATAAATTTTACTGATTGATTTTTAGAAGCAATATTAGAACAAGGACGAATTATGATCTCAAGGATCATGTTTAGCAATAGTAATATAAGGATTTGAATATGAAGAAACTGGTTTAGGATATCACAAACTTACTAATATTATTAGTGTAATAGACAGAGTACTTATGAATCTTTTGAGAATGATACATATTATATTAATCAAAAAAATTTTCACTCTATCAACCTTCTTAAAATTGTTAATCACTAGAGATATTTTACCTATATACATGTCAGCAAAGCAGGCTAGTAAAATTTATTATTATTTATTTATCTTTTAATAATTAATTTATTATATACTAACATTTTTATCATCATAGAAAGTGTACATGATACTAAAGTGTTTTATTGTTTTTTATTTTATTATGAAATTTTATTATATTCTAAACAATAGATTCCAGGTGATACTTATTCCTTAGGTTATCTAGCAGGCAAATTTGCCTGCAAACTTAAAAAAATATGTTATTTTTTTTAATAAAATATTAAATA